GGAGGGGGAGTTGAAGTGATTCGCGACTGGGAGGTGTTGTCGTTTGTCATGAGCCGAGCGTAGGTGCTCTACAAAGCGGTCTCCAAGGCTCCGCTTGGTCTCACCAATGTAGAGGAGGCCACATCGGGAACAGTGGACACAATAGACCACATTAGCACATGTGCAGGTGAACATCTGTTTAATGTGGAAGGTTTTCTTGGGCCGTGGGATGGGGGTGAGGGGGGTGGTGTAGGGGCAGGTGTAGCACCTCCTGCGGTTGCAGGGAAAAGTGTCGGGTGTGGTATGGCTAGTGGGGAGTGTGGAGCGGATGAGGGAGTCACGGAGGGAGCGGTCCCTCTGGAAGGCAAATAAGGGTGGGGAGGGAAATATATCCTTCGTTGTGGGGTCAGATTGCAGGTGGCAGAAGTGGCGGAGAATGATGTGTTGACTCTGGAGGTCGATGGGGTGATAGGTGAGGACAAGGCGAATTCTGTCTTTGAGTAAAGTAGCTCAGAATATAAAAACAGGCAGCAAAAGTTTCTATAAATATGTAAATCGTAAAAGAGTGGCGAAGGTAAACATTGGTCCTTTCGAGGATGAGAAGGCCAATTTAATAACTGGGAATGAGGAAATAGCCGAGATATTAAACAGTTATTTCATGTTCGTGGAAGACACAAATAACATGCCGAAAACTAATAGCAAGAAGGTTATAGCACGTGAGGACCTAGAAACTATCATTATCACTAAGGAGGCAGTGCTGGGCAAGCTAATGGGGCTAAACGTAGACAAGTCTCCTGGCCCTGATGAAATGCATCCCAGGGTACTAAAAGAGGTGATGGGGGAAATAGCAAATGCACTAGTAATTATTTACCAAAATTCACTGGACTCTGGGGTGGTTCCTGCAGATTGGAAAACAGCCAATGTGACGCCACTGTTTAAAAAAGGAAGTAGACCAAGAGCAGGTAACTATAGGCCAGTTAGCTTAACTTCGGTAGTGGGGAAAATGCTTGAATTTATCATTAAGGAAGAAATAGCAAGACATCTGGATGTAAATTGTCCCATTGGGAATACCCAGCATGGGTTCATGAAGGGTAGGTCATGTTTAACTAATATGGTGGAATTCTTTTCGGACATTACTTGCATGGTGGGCAATGGGGAACCTGTGGATGTGGTGTATCTGGGTTTCCAGAAGGCATTTGACAAGGTGCCACACCAAAGGCTGCTACATAAGATAAAGTTGCACGGTATTACAGATAATGTATTGGCATGGATAGAGGATTGGTTGACCAGTAGAAAGCAAAGAATAGGGGTAAATGGGTGTTTTTTTGGTTGGTGGTCGATGGCTAGTGGTGTACCTCAGTGATCAGTGTTGGGACCTCAATTGTTCACAATTTACATAGTTGATTTGGAGTTGGGGACTAAGTGTGGTGTGTCAAAATTTGCAGATGACACTAAGGTGAGTGGTAGAGCAAAGTGTGTAGAAGACACTGAAAGGCTGCAGAGGGATATAGATAGTCTAAATGAGTGGGCAAAGGTCTGGCAGATGGAATACAATGTTGATAAGTGTGATTTCATCCATTTTGGTAGGAATAACAGCAAAATGGACTATGTTTTAAATGGTAAAAAATTGCAGCACGCTGCTGTGCAGAGGGACTTGGGTGTCCTTGTGCATGAATCGCTAAAAGTAGGATTGCAGGTGCAGCAGGTGATTAAAAAGGCAAAGGGAATTTTGTCTGCCATTGCTAGAGGGATGGAGTTTAAAAACAGGGAGGCTATGCTGCAGCTGTATAGGGTCCTGGTGAGGCCACACCTGGAGTACTGTGTGCAGTTTTGGTCTCCTTACTTGAGAAGAGATATACTAGCACTGGAGGGGGTGCAAAGGAGATTCACTCGGTTGATTCCAGAGTTGAGAGGATTGGATTATGAGGAGAGACTGAGTAGACTGGGATTATACTCATTGGAATTCAGAAGAATGAGGGGAGATCTTATAGAAACATATAAGATTATGAAGGGAATAGATAAGGTGGAGGCAGGGAGGTTGTTTCCGCTAGCAGGTGAAACTAGGACTAGAGGGCATCACCTCAAAATAAAGGGAAGCAGATGTAGGACTGAGGTCAGGAGGAACTTCTTCACCCAAAGGGTTGTGAATCTGTGGAATTCCCTGCCCAGTGAAGCAGTTGAAGCTACCTCGCTGAATGTGTTTAAGGCAAGGCTGAATTTTTGAACAGTAAAGGAATTAAGGGTTATGGTGAGTGGACCTGAGTCTCAAAGATCAGCCATGATCTTATTAAATGGCAGGGCAGCCTTGAGGGGCCAGATGGCCTACTCCTACTCCTAGTTCTTATGTAGCCTGCACGTCTTTGGACTGTGGGAGGAAACCGGAGCACCCGAAGGAAACCCACACAGACACGGGGAGAATGTGTAAACTCCACACAGACAGTCATCTGAGGGTGGAATTGAACCCAGGTTCTTGGTGCTGTGAGACCGCAGTGCTGACCACTGAGCCACTGTGCCACCCCAATTTACTTGACATGATATCAAGAAAGAGTTGGAGGCATTGGATACTGCAAAGGCTGTAAGCCCTGACGACATTCCAGCAATAGTTCTGGAGACTTATGGTCGGGAACTTGCCACACTCCTAGCCAGGCTATTCTAGTACAATGTGGGCATCCGCCCAACAAGATGGAAAGTTACAAAAACAGAAGCTGCTGGAAAAGCTCAACAGGTCTCGCATCATCTGTGAAGAGAAATCAGTTAGCATTTCAGGTTTGGTGACCCTTCATCAGATGTTCTGGCCCGAAACATTAACTCTGATTTTCTCTTCACGGATGCTGCCAGACCTGCTGAGCTTTTCCAGCAACTTCTGTTTTTGTTTCTGATTTACGGGATCCACAGTTCTTTTGGGTTTTAACATGGAAAATTACCCAGGTATATCATGCACTTACCATTTTTCCTTTTGGACTAGGGTATTTATCAGTCTTTAACTCTGTTAGTTCCTGAGGCATTCTTTCCTTTGTGATAGTTGCTGTATTTATTTCCTCGCCATCCTTTCTCCCTTGATAACTTAGTATTTTTGGAATGTGATCTATATCCTCTACTGTGAAGGCTGATGCAAAGTATTTCTTCAATTAATCTGCCATTTCTCAGTTCCCAAATATGATTTCCTCAGTCTCATTATTTAAGTGTCCTCTCTCTTCCTTTTGGAAGAAGCACTAACTGTCTGTTTTCATAGAGTTTACACCTGAAGTATACTTTCTTCTTATAGAATCCCTATAATGTGGAAGCAGGCCATTTGGCCCATCGAGTCCATGCCAAACCGTCCAAAGAGCATCCGAACTGGACTCATTCCCCCTACACTATCCTTGCATTTCTTATGGCTAATCCACCTACCCTGCACATCTTTGAACAGTGGGATGAAACCCACACAGACACAGGGAGAACATGCAAGCTCCACACAGACAGTTGCCCGAGTGTGGAATCAAGCCCAAGTTCCTGGATGACATTCTGGAACTGAGATGAGGAGGAATTTCTTCAGCCAGAGGATGGTGAATCTATGGAACCCATTGTTGCAGGAGGTTGTAGAGGCCAAGTCATTGAGTTTCTTTAAGACAAAGATAGCTAGGTCCTTGCTTAATAAAGGGATCAAGGATTACAGGGAGAAGGCAGGAGAATGGAGTTGAGAAGCATATCAGCCATGATTGAATGATGGAGCAGACCTGATGGGCTGAATGGCTTAGTTCTGCTTCTGTATCCTATAGTCTTATGATCTTTTGGAAGTGAAATACTCGTCTCAACACTTTTAGGAAGCAGATGGAGAAACAGGTCAGAAAAAATGGAAGGCTCTAAACTTCATTAAGTAAAGAAGCACTGACTGAAGCTGAGCTGCTTAACAGCTCGTCTTGTTGCTTTGGCTCAGCTTGGCTGCAGTGTTCTTGTTGTTGAGTGAGAAGGTTATGAGTTCAAGGCTCACTCCAGGGTTTAAATACAAAATCAATGATAACCCTTTAGTATTGCACTGAAGGACTTTTGGATGTGATGCCTTTGAGATAAAGAATTTAACTGACACTGTCCTGACTCAGGATGTAAAAGATCCTGCTGCATTATTGAAAGTTGGGGAGTTCTCTAAGGCAGCCTAAGCAACACCATGCCCTTAACCAGCACCAGAAAATACGTTAAACTGATCACGTATCTCATGCTGTTTGTGAGTGCATGGAGTCTGGTGTGACTTCCTGCATAGCCACACTTCAGGAGTAATTTATGAAGCTCTGCAGCAGCTGGTTGGAGGATGCAAAAGGCACCAAATAAATGCAAGCATTTCATTCCTAAACAAGAGGGAAAGGGATTTAGAGCAGAGATTTAAATATGATCAATACCATAGTGATTTAGAGAAATGATCAATTTGCCTGAGATTTGCACTGTCTTTGAAACACTCCCAATTTCTAATCCTGTAATCTCATTGCAACCAACACGTCACTTGTTCAGGAAGGACAGGAAAGGAAATCCAGCCAGTCATCAGGTTAAACCTACATGGGTAGAAGTTAACTTTACATCACACTTTCTCATTTTATTTAAACAAAATTATAGTCTGCAATGAAGTCAATTCTATGCCAATGTGTTTGAAGGAAAACTCATTTATATTTAACTGAAATAAAGACCTCCAACCGTAGCTTGCTAGAAAGTAGGTGTGCTGTCTGGTTTAAATTATGTTTCATTAAAACAAAGCATCCATCAATAGTGTACCAAATAAAATACATCATCTGCTCTGTATTATATAATCAGCAGACAATTCAAATGCAGAATGCTTAAACTTGCTTTGGGCAAAAAGGGTTAATTAACTTATTAAACTTTAGAAAGCATGGAGGAAATTCAAAATAAATTACCCAGGTACATTTTCCACCTTCACAAGTGACTGTTCAAGTGAAAATAAATAAAATTACACTTAGTCCCATTTCCATCTTGTTTTAAGTTGGATCACTTCAAAGTTTTCTAAAAATGACACAAAGGGCTAAATCTTACCAGAAACCAGTTAATTGTTATTTTTGACAGAAGATTTTTCTCCACAAGGCTTGGTCAGTTTACGTTGCCAAACGTGGTTCGACGCACCACCCCTCTACGATGTCCCACTCATCATATTCTCCATCTTATCAAAGGCCACAGTCAGGACTTCCCAGGATTCCTGTGCGGGCGCCATCTTTAAAACCCAGCTGTGCACTTGCTCAAGCGTCTACAGTCTGCAGCTACCCTTTATGGTTCCCATCGGTTGACCCAGACCTGTCAGAGAGAGACAAATGGGAACCCCACTTTAAAAAGGTTCCAGCAAGGGTGAGGGGTACGTGGTCACCCTGCAATATTGGCGATTGGTGTCCAAGATAGAGGGCGGAACGAGCAAGCTGCAAGCTGGAGTCGCTGGGTAACCCTGTCCTGACTTTCAAGTCAGGAATAGTTTCTGTCTACGGTGAGTGGGAGAGTGGGAAACTGCTTATCTGTGGCTGGATTATGTAATAATGAGGATATTAATGCATATTGCTGGAAAAGCTCAGCAGGTCTGGCAGCATCTGTGAAGAAGAAATCAGAGTTAACGTTTCGGGTCCGGTGACCCTTCCTCAGAACTCACTGATGTTTTCTTCACAGATGCTGCCAGACCTGCTGAGCTTTTCCAGCAGCTTCTATTTTTGTTCCTGACTTACAGCATCCACAGTTCTTTCGGTTGTTTATGGGTGGAAATAGGCCTTTTACTGCTCACTGGTGAGAATCTCATCTCTCCATTAAGTGTTGGATTCAAAAATGGGACTTATTGCTCCTAATGGCAGGAATCTCCTCACTGCCAACCCCATGCAGTTCTCCCACTTTCTCACCATTGCCCACACAGGTTACTGACTGTTTCTCTCTCCATAGATGCCACTGAGTAATTTTCAGCACTTTTCACTTTCATATCACTTAAAGAAAAAAAACATCTGGGCTGGTTGAATCAGAGATAGTAGGAACTGCAGATGCTGGAGAATCCGAGACAACAAGGTTCAGGGCTGGATGAACACAGCAGGCCAAGCAGCATCATAGGAGCAGAGAGGCTGATGTTTCGGGCCTAGACCCTTCATCAGAAAAGGGGGAAGGGAAGGGTGTTTTGAAATAAATAGGGAGAGAGTGGGAGGCGGATAGAAGAGGGATAGAGGAGAGGATAGGGCTGGTTCTTCTGTGGTTTTACTATGCACAAGTTGCCTGCTACCTTTCAACAGCAATTCACAATTGAAAATATCACACAAACTGTAAATCACAACTGGGACTTCCTGAAGTTTTAGCAGGGGTGGTGCTTACAAAGGCAAATCAAATGAAAATTTATGATTTTTAATTCACCTCCAATTGATTAATTCAGCCCATCACCCTGATGGTGCGGGAGAACAGCAAGTACAGTTTTCATGGTCGCACACAAACAGAAATAGTTACTCTTATCTAACCTTCATTTACTCACCACTTACTTGGCAGAAAACATTGAGGCAGAGAATCCACCCATCTCGTGTTCCCACATGGAGAATAGGCCAGAGTTTGTGCATTGGAACCAACAGGCAGTCAAACCTAACGTAATTACAAAAGGTAGTGTTATTTCATGCCTTATCTTGAAAAGCATATGTTTTGAGAGTGTTTTCAAAGCTTTTATCACAGAACACAAACTGGAAAAACACTGAAACACATTTCCAACCACACTATAGAAACATTGCTGAATGTTGATGATATCAAACTATTTCCAGCTGCAGATTATAGTCTGTGTTCTCTCCTGTGCAGTAGGGGGTTAATAAGTACGGTTTTCCCCTCTTTGTGATAATATATAATTTATTCAAAGCACAAGGAGCTGTTGGTTTCAACAAAGCATTCAAATGTTATTGAATGGGAAACTTTCTGAACTAAAATATATTTTTCCACTGTATGAAAAAAATGACCTTTCAGAATGCAAATGCTGTTTGATATGCATTGCTGTTTATATACATGATGTGCAGTTGTCCCAGTTTGTTAATCACACAGCACAGATAGCTTTGCTACCCATATGACATCTTAGGAAAATTCTGAATTTATCCAAAATTCTCCTGCCTAACCTGAATTGAGCCCCATTAGTCTGTCACCTTTTGCTTGGCTGACCGATACTGGTTCCTGGTCCACTAACTACTTTATTCTAATCATTCTCACCCTTATCTTCAATTTTTCTATGTCGCTGTGGTTACTTCCAGTTTTTGAATGCTTCGGTATCTCTGCAGTCCTCCCTTTCTGGCAGCTCAAATTTTAATCATAGGAGCAGAGAGGCTGACGTTTCGAGCCTAGACCCTTCATCAGAAAAGGGGGAGGGGAAGGGGGTTTTGAAA